ATTACATCGCTAAGTGTCAACTTTTGTAGGGTAAGTGGGGTAGAATGCTTGTCAATGGCTTGAAATGCGACTCTATGGGCAAAGACAGGTTATTTTTCATCTCACTCGGGAGTATTTATAACAACCATTTTCTATTTCACTGTTATTGTCTGATCCACCAGATTGAACAATAACAATGTGAAACAGAAAATGGTTATTATAAATACTCCCGAGTGAGATGAGAAATAAAAATGGCTGCGCCCATAGAGTCGCATCTTGTTTTATTGATACAATATGCACATTGGCTTTCTACCCCACTCCAGGGGGGCTATTTTCAAAGTATGGGAGCACTCATTTCTCTCAAGATTCTCATCAGAAATGTCATACGTCAATGTGGAAACGCTGTTTTTAAAGGCCTCGAGAATTAAAATTCTTATGAGGATATTAATTATCTCTAAATAAACCGTGAGAAACAATCAGTGAGTTTACACTGGCCCTTAGGACCCTAAAAATACTGTTTTACGTTGACGTATGACATTTCTCTCGAGAGAAATGAATTCTCTCGACTTTGAAAATAGCCTCCCAGTTCATTGGACAGAGCGCGCACGGAATACGTGACGTCATAGACAGAGTTCGGTCTTTTTACAATCACAAAACGAACACAAGATGAATGACAAATGACACTAATGGTAGTTTGCGCTTGAATACACTTTTGTGTGTGTGTGTGTATCACATACTTTGATTTTCTTTTACTATACGGAGAATGGTCGCACTGCGCAGCTTTCTGAGTGCCTTTTAAAAGGAGATAGAAAACTCTGCCATTTTGAACCCTTATTACGTGTTGCCTACATCTTAGCGCAATATTTTTAATAGGTGCGTTTTAATCATCCGCTTCTGCTTCGGAATTATCGGTTTTCTTCTTTTAATCTGACAAGTTAAAACGACTAAACCGACAATTCCGGAAGCAGAAGCGAATGATTAAAACGCACCTGTGCGTCGATTCTCGAGCTTGGACGATGTGAGCGTTCCTATAGGAGAGGTGAACGATCACATCCTACAGCGTTTCTCTCGAAGTGGTTTGGCCGTATTCCCGAAACTCGGTGAACGTGATCAAACGGGGAATAAAGTGCACGGTGTTGCCAACTCTAATATCTTCTTTTTCTTTATTTTTGTAGACATTTGAACTATATTTTGTTAACTGGATATACTTTTGTTATAATAAAAGAAGAAAATATTAAAATTGTCACCTATCCGTATTGAATTTGACATATTTGGAGAAAATTATGAATTAGAAATTAAGAGTGTGATTAAGAGGTCGTTTCGTAGGAGTTTTCTATAATATGATAAAAATATATATATTTTTTTATTAAAAGCATAGAAGAGGGAAAAGAAAAACGTACAGCCATTACAGAGTTCACTTTTTTAAGATACTTAATTAAAAATTAAATTTGCAAACCGGAAATTTATAGTATAGGTAGTCGATTTTGTTTTAAATTTTGTGCTAAAGAAAAGTAAGTTTGTATTAATATCAAATAAATAATTTTATTAATAAAAATTCGGTAAAGAAAATTCAATACATATGTTTACAAATATATAGATTAGACTAATTATATAAACTGGAGTGACCGCCTCATAGAAATTTGAAATATTTTCAACTAAATTATTATATAAAGGGTTATAATTTATTTCGAAAAATTTTTTATAACTTTTGTTTACTACCTACGGAATCTGCAACTCTTAATTATCCTTCCTCCGTGCTACCTACTTTAACTAACTGTAGCTTAACTAGATTATTGTCAATACTTATACTTTATTTCAACTTTTCAAATATCACTTTCTCAGTTTAATGGGATTAAATTAACATTTTTAACAATCATTCTTTGTGTTTTTCTAATTTTGTAATTATTTTTACAAAACAAAACCATACAATTTGCTTTCAGTAAAGATATTTGTCATAGAAGACAATTTATAAACTTCTTAACACTGAACATTAATATCAATTTTGGGATTTTTCATAATTTGTATTCCCATTTTAGGCAATAAATATAACCTACCTACTAAATAGTACGACCCTTATTTATTAGGATTTTGGGATTTTCCCTAATTTACAATTCCCAGAATACGAATAATAGATATGTAGGTATGTATACAGGTACCCATGCATTTATTAGAATTACAATAATTGATTTTTGTGATGAAGTACCAAATAATATTTTACTTATGCTAATAAATTATTCACTCTATTGTTATCAATAATGATTTTATTAAAAATATAAAAATACGAAATGTACGAATATGAAAAAAGTTAAAAAAATTACTTAATTACGGGCCAAAAATAATAAATCAGCTACCCCGCATGCGTTTACTAATAATTCTTGAGAGAACACGGCGTTCTCCTACGAAATACCAGTAGAACGATGTTCCTACGACTTTCGTAGGAAGTGAACGTTCCTATGACTTTAAGAATACGGGCTTAGCGAATTTCAGGAGAAACACGCCCTCTATTCCTATAGGAACGCCGTTCCTACGATTCAAGAATACGGTCCCTGATATTTTGCTTCCTGCTGTCAGTGTCAGTGAATATTATTTTTGAAGTCACAGTTTATTGCTAAAGAATCAGTTAGCTCACTTGGACCAGTTGAAAGTTCCAAAATAACATCCACTCCAGGGATACAAATACAGGATACGCAGAAGACTGCTGTTTTATTATAGGCGGTTGTCATATATTGTATTATCCGAGTTGCACAGTGTATAAACTGAAACATTGAGATCCAAAGTGCCGACGCAGAGTGAGCGATCTGATTTTTTAGCTGTAGGCAACACGTAATAAAGCATCAAAATGGCGGAGTTTTATATCTCTTTTTAAAAGGCACTCAGAAAGCTGCGCAGTGCGACCATTTTCCGTAAAGTAAAAGAAAATCAAAGTATGTGACTGACACCACAAGTGTTCTAGGTTAATCCTTTCAGAACCATTTACATTAGACGTTCAAAGGTAGATGGCAGAGATTTTTACTCTACTTGTACGATCTCTCAAAAAAAATATTTGGCAACACTGGTCTCTTTACAAACGACGTAGACCTGTAGTTAACATCTGAGACGCTAGATGACGCCATTGTTGCTCGTTGCGTTTCCAATCTTTATGTTCCTTATCTTTGGTAGATGGGACATCACAGAGACCAAACGGGAAAACCCACAAAGCACGTATCTTCTAGAGACCCCACGCCAATGTTAAACTTTTAAACCATATTAGCGCCACCTTGTGTTTGGAGCTGGAACTAAAATGACAATTGACAGATGGCGGTAAATTCAAATTGTAATTTTTAGGAGTAGGTAGTAGTTTTAAATTAAATTTTAAATGATTTCCACATAAATTATTTTATAAAATAAAGTATGGAACTAGTAAGTTCGAAACTTTTATTTTACAAAATAATTTAGGTCGATTATACCAAATTTGATGAATTAATTTGTTATAAGGGGTCTGATGTGGAGAGTTGGTTCTGCATATTATTATTAAATAAATATAAGATATATCAATAAATAATAAAATAGAACATTCTTAAAATATGTTTATTAATAACTTAAATATTATTAGATAAAAATAAATACAAATAATAATACATATTTAACGAATACTTACTTGGAGCAAATAGATATATGATCTCAAATCTTTAAACTACCTATCAATAATTTAAATGTGAAGTAGAGACTAGGATATTACATTTTATTAACACTATATATATTATATATTTTATAAATGTCTTTTTAACCGAGGACAAATGTAATATAGGTATTGTATTAAAAGGTGAATCCTTTTAACTATTCATTCAATGATAAATAGGTATTTTCCTTCCAAATACAGATGGTGGTAGGTATTACTCTCCTATGTGAAAAATGATTTCGGAATCTAGTCCAGTGATAAATTGATTATCAATTAGTTGTTGTACCCGTTTGTCTTTTTATGATGTAGATGCATGGTGAATCAATGAAGTTTTTCTCGAAGTTTTCAACGTAGCACCAAAATTATTGCAAAACACAGTAGGAAAATAGAAAAGCGAAACATCACAATTTTGCAAATAACTAAGACGAAACTATAAACAGAAACCAAAAACCAAAGCCAACAAAAAATCACTAAAATCAGACGGAAAAATGGGACTAACCAAGAACATAAATAAATACACGTCACATCTTTGGAGTCTTTGGTTAAGTTTTTCTCCCATAAGGCTTAAAAATGGAGTAAGAAATCATAATTTCACCAGTAGCCCCATCTAGAGTTTGGAGCAAATAGCATAAAAAATGTCAGTTGTCGGTTTTGACCTTGGTCATTCACGTGGAACCTCTATGTGCTTTGTGGGAAAACCTGTGTCAGAATATTATATTTGGAGGTTGCAAACCTCTCTGTCTGTCATGTTTCTTGCTTTATGATACATGTCAAAAGTCTTGTCAATTGTCATCTTAGTTTTAATAGAGTTGTGTCGTTTGAATAACGATTATATTTTATGTATTTAAAACCAGCACATTGTCTTTTTCTATCTGTACTGCTGTGTAACAATATATTTATTTTCTAGCATAGGGTAGGTACAAATACCACTTTAACATGTCTAAAAGAGAACGACAAGTCGTTTTCTTTTTGTTAGAGAATTTCCATTCGGTTTAAGCTTTTATAACCTTATTTTTTATTATCGTGAAGTAAACAATGTCTTTTTTACAATAAGCCTTTCAATTATTAACAATATATTACCCCTTTCATACGGTACTGCACTGTTTTGTGTACCGTTTGCTGTACATTTCTTCTCTACCCGTCATAATCATTAAGGACCGATTCCACTGTTGTGTTAAACGAAGTTTTTACATTAACATTGTCATTTTAATCTCCGTTTAACGCAATGGTGGAATCGACCCTAAATCCCATAGATAAAATAATTTAAATCCACTACTTTAATAGCAATATAAATACACGTCGTTTGTGCCAAAAGTGAAATATGCTATTGACGATATACTGGTTGCATATCTATTGGGTTACCTTTTATACTAATGATATTGAAGGGTGAGGTTTGATAAAAAGAAGAAAAGAAGAAGACGAACACCTAACCTTACATTTTTAACATTTCAATTCAAATCTTGTTTTCACAAGTTTATATATATAAAATAAATATGCTTTTATATGAAATTCGTTTTAAATTTTAAACATGGAAAATGAAGACCACAAAGAACCCGAAAGAATTAAATCCAAAAAACGTAGAGAATTTGACAGAGACGATGGTTTTGGCGATTGGGTAAACATTTACTTTTTTCCTTAATTTGTTGTATATATTTTACCAGATTTATTCTATTTTAGGGTGGTTATATGGCCGCTAAAAGAGCCAAACTATTGGATCAGTTTAAAGGATCGGAAATTCCCAGACTATCTAACATATTTGAAGGAGTAGCTATACATGTAAATGGTTTAACTCGCCCTCCTATTGATGAATTAAAAAATCTTATGGCTGCTCATGGTGGAGTGTTTCATATGTATCAAGTTTCTTCTACTACTCATATAATTGCTTCGAATTTACCAAACGTTAAGGTAAGTAATTAACTTGTATTTTTGAGTGTAATTATACAGTTGCCAATGGTCAATATAGTCTCAAATTCTTTAGTCAGACATTGCATATCTTAATTTGTATTTTATTTATTTATTAGTGCATAAAATTCTAGAAACTTATTGGTTATAGATTATAAGGTATATTAAATTGTTTTTGAACCTCCAAAGTGAAAACAAATTTAATGGAATATTGAAATAAAATGTCGATTCTTGTAGTTAGATTTTTAAAAATTATAAATTTAAAACCTTTTTATTTTTATTTAAGGAATATAGCTTAAAAATAAAATTTTAAACGCAGCTGTACTTACAGTATTTTATCTACAATGTGTCTTCAAAATTTCTTTTAAATCACTTGAAAAATGTAGGTACAGCTTTTATTTATAAATTGATTCAAATTTTATTTATTTATTCCAATTATATATTTTTTGAAACAAAAAAAAATAATAGTAGGGTTAAACCCATTGGAAAAGAAAGAGAATATAATACAAATAAAAGGAAAAATAAATTACGGACGATCTGAGGTCGGGAAGTGGAAGGGGGTGTGTTTTTAAGGGTAAAAAACAGTATATTTCTATTTCTGGAAGAACTACAAGTCCTATGGAAAAAAGTTAAATGGCAAAGTTGTAGGTAATAAAAAGATCTACAACTTTTGTATTTATACTTTTTTCACATAACCTCAAAATTTAAGTGAAAAATTAAAATAACCAAGTTTTTGGTTTTTTATTTTTCTTTTATAAAAAAAAATGTTTTTTTACGAAATTTGGTTTCAACTTAACCTTTTTATGTCCCAAACACACTGTAATTTTTTTGAAGTAAAAAGGGGTGAGTTTTAAGGGTAAAAAACGGTTTATTTTTATTTCCTGCAAAATACAACTCCTATCGAAAAAAGTTAAATGGCAAAGTTGTAGGTAATAAAAAGATCTACAACTTTTGTATTTATACTTTTTTCACATAACCTCAAAATTTAAGTGAAAAATTAAAATAACAAATTTTTGGTTTTTTATTTTTCTTTTATAAAAAAAAAATGTTTTTTTACGAAATTTGGTTTCAACTTAACCTTTTTATGTCCCAAACACACTGTAATTTTTTTTGAAGTAAAAAGGGGTGAGTTTTAAGGGTAAAAAACGGTTTATTTCTATTTCCTGCAAAACTACAACTCCTATCAAAAAAAGTTAAATGGCAAAGTTGTAGGTAATAAAAAGATCTACAACTTTTGTATTTATACTTTTTTCACATAACCTCAAAATTTAAGTGAAAAATTCAAATAAAGAAGTTTTTGGTTTTTTATTTTTCTTTTATAAAAAAAAAATGTTTTTTTACGAAATTTGGTTTCAACTTAACCTTTTTATGTCCCAAACACACTGTATTTTTTTGAAGTGAAAAGGGGTTAGTTTTTAAGGGTAAAAAACGGTTTATTTCTATTTCCTGCAAAACTACAACTCCTATCAAAAAAAGTTAAATGGCAAAGTTGTAGGTAATAAAAAGATCTATAACTTTTGTATTTATACTTTTTTCACATAACCTCAAAATTTAAGTGAAAAATTAAAATAACCAAGTTTTTGGTTTTTTATTTTTATATTTTATAAAAAAAAATGTTTTTTTACGAAATTTGGTTTCAACTTAACCTTTTTATGTCCCAAACACACTGTAATTTTTTTGAAGTGAAAAGGGGTGAGTTTTTAAGGGTAAAAAACGGTTTATTTCTATTTACTGCAAAACTACAACTCCTATCGAAAAAAGTTAAATGGCAAAGTTGTAGGTAATAAAAAGATCTACAACTTTTGTATTTATACTTTTTTCACATAACCTCAAAATTTAAGTGAAAAATTAAAATAACGAAGTTTTTGGTTTTTTATTTTTATCTTTTATAAAAAAAAATGTTTTTTTACGAAATTTGGTTTCAACTTAACCTTTTTATGTCCCAAACACACTGTAATTTTTTTGAAGTAAAAAGGGGTGAGTTTTAAGGGTAAAAAACGGTTTATTTTTATTTCCTGCAAAATACAACTCCTATCGAAAAAAGTTAAATGGCAAAGTTGTAGGTAATAAAAAGATCTACAACTTTTGTATTTATACTTTTTTCACATAACCTCAAAATTTAAGTGAAAAATTAAAATAACAAATTTTTGGTTTTTTATTTTTCTTTTATAAAAAAAAAATGTTTTTTTACGAAATTTGGTTTCAACTTAACCTTTTTATGTCCCAAACACACTGTAATTTTTTTTGAAGTAAAAAGGGGTGAGTTTTAAGGGTAAAAAACGGTTTATTTCTATTTCCTGCAAAACTACAACTCCTATCAAAAAAAGTTAAATGGCAAAGTTGTAGGTAATAAAAAGATCTACAACTTTTGTATTTATACTTTTTTCACATAACCTCAAAATTTAAGTGAAAAATTCAAATAATCAATTTTTTGGTTTTTTATTTTTATATTTTATAAAAAAAATGTTTTTTTACGAAATTTGGTTTCAACTTAACCTTTTTATGTCCCAAACACACTGTAATTTTTTTGAAGTGAAAAGGGGTGAGTTTTTAAAGGTAAAAAATGGTTTATTTCTATTTCCTGCAAAACCACAACTCCTATCGAAAAAAGTTAAATGGCAAAGTTGTTGGTAATAAAAAGATCTACAACTTTTGTATTTATACTTTTTTCACATAACCTCAAAATTTAAGTGAAAAATTAAAATAACGAAGTTTTTGGTTTTTTATTTTTATCTTTTATAAAAAAAATGTTTTTTTACGAAATTTGGTTTCAACTTAACCTTTTAATGTCCCAAACACACTGTAATTTTTTTGAAGTAAAAAGGGGTGAGTTTTAAGGGTAAAAAACGGTTTATTTTTATTTCCTGCAAAACTACAACTCCTATCAAAAAAAGTTAAATGGAAAAGTTGTAGGTAATAAAAAGATCTACAACTTTTGTATTTGTACTTTTTTCCATAGGACTTGTAGATTTGCTGGAAATCAAGATAAACCGTTTTTTTACCCTTAAAATCTCACCCCCTTCCAGTTCCCGACCTCAAATCGCCCGTACAGTATTTTTCCTTTCATTTTTGTTATATTCTCTTCCTTTTTCAAAGGCTTCAGCCCTGGTATATATTGGTATTTGGTGCTTTACACTGATTCCAAGATTTAACTACAATAACAACTTAAACTATTTCGAATCTAGATAAAACACCTTGGTACCACTCCTATAGTGAAGCCATCTTGGATAACCGAAAGTATAAATTACGGAAAATTACTGGATTATCGTAGATACCTTCTATATACAAATCAAAGTAAAACTCAACCAAAAATAGATTTTCCCATAATCGAAAAAAACAATAATCAAGAAGTAGCTGAGCCTACAAATAAGGCTGCTACAAAAACGGCTTCTGATCCAAATTTTCTGGAAGAATTTTATAACAACTCAAGATTACATTTGATATCTACTCTAGGAGCTGAGTTTAAACACTTAGTAGGTCAAATGAGGGAAAAATCTGATGGTATATTTGTCGGGAAACAAAAACTATTGGCTCTTAAAAGTAAGTCTTTTATTACAGATCAATTTGTCTCAACTTACTCAATATTAAAGAATTGACTTTTGTTTAACTTTGGCTTACTTTTTTTGACAATATTTTGATTGTTTTAGCTAATTCCAACCTATTATTAATACAAAATACGGTAATAATGCACATAGATATGGACTGCTTTTTCGTATCAGTAAGTCTGCGAAAACGCCCTGACTTAAAGGGAAAACCAGTAGCCATTACTCACGCTCGTAATGGTCAACTAACCAACGTTAAACCAGATCAAAAAGCTAATAGAGAACAAGAATTTTCACTCTATTCCGAAAGACTACCAATAGGCGTAACATCAAGAGTCGATAAAATTGACACAAATTCTAGTTTGTCAGAAATAGCGAGTTGCAGTTACGAAGCTAGACAGTGTGGAATTAAAAATGGAATGTTTCTGGGACAAGCTGTTAAGTTGTGTCCGGAATTGAAGACGTTACCGTACGATTTTGAGGTATTTAATTCAAATATAGTAACTTTATTTTCATCAGACCCTCGGCCTAGCTTATAATAGGGTCGAAATATTCGTACCAGTGGCATGCCTGAATATTTTTCCCAGGATGGTATAATTAAATGTAGGTAATATCGCGGAAATCAAACTAAAACGTTATTTATAACGTTACAGGGTGTTTGTTAAATTTCAGTGAACTGTTTTCAAGTAATCTGTAATCATTATTCGTGATATATTTCTGTATCTCGAATTTTAGGTAATTTTGAGGCGCATCGTTTGGTATTTTTCATTTTGACGTATCTGGGGTACAGATTTGAAAGTAAACCTAAATATTTATTTTAAAAATTCATTGACTGTTGGACTGTCAGTCTGTGATCAATAAAAATTCCATATTATTCTAAAAATAGCCAAGAAGTTGCAAAATATATTTATAAATAGAAATGTATATAGTTTATTTTAAAATGGTTGATAGCAGTTTTTATGGCAAAGGTTTATATACAGGGTTGTTCAAAGTAGAAAAAAGTAAATATTTATACCTCCCTATTTAAATTTTCACTATATTTTAGTATGACCATCCCGAAAAACCTCGAATACAATACATCATAAAATGTAAATGAGCAAACGCTAAGGGATTAAGCAATAATTATATACATCAGTGACATTGTACATGAAATAACTTTGATATAAAAAATCTGATGTATTCAAATATTTTTCCTCAAATTTTTTAGTTTAGTAATTTTCTTAAAAATTAAAATTATGCACATTTTGTCAAATATCTCGAATACGGTCCATATTAGGAAAATTTTGTATAGAACAAAAATGGTAGAGAATAATATTAGAAGTAACTTTTATTTAAAGAATTTTCTTCTCCAAATGTAAATAACAGATATATTTCGTAAAATATAAAAACGACCCCCTATAAAGTACCCCCCCAGACGTTCCGACTCTGCCCAAAATCTAATCAGTTCACTTCAGGCTGGAATAAAGCTTAAGTTTAAAATTTGGTGTTTTTCTCTTTATCCGTTTTTAAGTTTTCTTCAAAATTCGAAATTTATATATTTTCTCAAATATCTCGAATACGGACCATTTTAGGAAAAATTTGTAAAGAACAAACATTATAGAGAATAATATAAGAAATAACTTTTATTTGAAGTATTTTTTTCTCCAAACGTAAATAACAGATATTTTTCATAAAATATAAAAATGACCACCTATAAAGTATCCCCCCAAATGTTCCGACTCTGTCCAAAATCTAATCAGTTCATCTCTGGCCGGAATTAAGCTTAAGTTTAAAATTTAATGTTTTTTTCTTTATCCGTTTTTGAGTTTTCTTCAAAATTCCAAATTTGCACTTTTCCTTAAATATCTCGAATACGGTCCATTTTAGGAAAATTTTGTATAGGATAAAAATTATAGAGAATAATATTAGAAATAACTTTTATTTGAAGATTTTTTTTCTCCAAACGTAAATAACAGATATTTTTCATAAAATATAAAAATTACCACCTATGAAGTATCCCCCTAGATGTTCCGACACTACTAAAAATCTAATTAGTTCAACGCAAGCCAGAATAAAGCTTAAGTTTAAAATTTGATCTTCTTCCCTATATCCGTTTTTGAGTTTTCTTCAAAATTCGAAATTTACACATTTTCTCAAATATCTCGAATACGGTCCATTTTAGGAAAATTTTGTATAAAACAAAAATTATAGAGAATAATATTAGAAGTAACTTTTATTTGAAGAGTTTTCTTCTCCAAACGTAAATAACAGAGATATTTCATAAAATATAAAAACGACCCCTATAAAGTACCCCCCAGACGTTCCGACTCTGCCCAAAATCTAATCTGTTTACGTCAGGCTGGAATAAAGCTTAAGTTTAAAATTTAACATTTTTATCTTTATGCGTTAGAGTTTTCTTCAAAATTCGAAATTTACACATTTTCTCAAATATCTCGAATACGGTCCATTTTAGAAAAATTTTGTATAAAACAAAAATTATAGAGAATAATATTAGAAGTAACTTTTATTTGAAGAGTTTTCTTCTCCAAACGTAAATAACAGAGATATTTCATAAAAATAAAAACGACCCCCTATAAAGTGCCCCCCAGATGTTCCAGCGCTGCCTAAAATCTAAAAAAGAATATATTCTCCCATAAAATACTCATATTTCGGGTACTAGTGTAACTTTCTACTCCCATACCTTTTTAGATCGTTATTTATTTTATGAAATCTCATTATTTACCTCTTAAATTTTGTTTTACTTTAAATTCTATAAATATAAATAAATTAAATATAAAATCTTTCTGTCCACTTAAACTTACACATAGATTTTTTTGCATGCCTTCATTGATCACCCTGTATATAATAAACCTATGGTCCTACGATAAATATACGTCATGCAGCTTAATTCTAAAATAACTAGCTCTTAAAATCTGCAAACCGCTTTCAAAAATTTACATTCCTATTGAAAATATCGTACTTTAAATTTTATTTAGCTTGTTGACTAACGTTGTTAACGAACAGCGTCAATTTACCAATTGGTTAACTAACTGCGTTGATTTTCACATATGGGCGATTCTCTAAAATAAAAATGTTTTAAAGCGTATGTTTTACGCGTTTTTGTTTTCTATTTATGCACAGAAATAAGCCTGTAAAGTGGTTTTACTACACAGCTACAATACAACGAAAACTGTGAGAAAATTTCAAAATTTAATGCCACGGGACTGACATATAAAGTGTTAGGTAACGGTTCCTTTAATCTGGAATAGTAACTGGCATTGTCTATAACCATTACAGAATTGGTCGATGATAAATCTATCATTTGACTGAAATATTCCTCGAAAACATCAACATCTTCATCTACTGGGTGATAAAATTTTGCTTACATTCATTTTCAAATAAACTATAGTATAAATGCCCCTCCTTAATCTAACAAACAGTGTCAATTCAATAAGTTGGATAGCTAACTATTAAATTTCACCATCTAAGTTTGCTTACAGTTGTGTCTAAACTTGTATTTTTTAGGGTATAAAATCGGTATCGCACAGTCTTTACGAAATCATAGCTTCGTATACCCTTGACATAGAAGCAGTCAGTTGCGACGAAATGTATGTAGACGTTACCAACATTCTAAAGGAAACCGGTTTATCTGTTGAAGAATGGGCGACTTATATTAGAAACGAAATTATGAATGCCACGCAATGCCCTTGTTCAACAGGTATATATTAATTAATAATTCATCATTGATTAATGATTAATAATTAATAATGATTAATAATGATTAATAATGATTAATAATGATTAATAATGATTAATAATGATTAATAATGATTAATAATGATTAATAATGATTAATAATGATTAATAATGATTAATAATGATTAATAATGATTAATAATGATTAATAATGATTGATTAATAATGATTGATTAATAATGATTGATTAATAATGATTAATAATGATTAGTAATGATTAATAATGATTAATAATGATTAATAATGATTAATAATGATTAATAATGATTAATAATGATTAATAATGATTAATAATGATTAATAATGATTAATAATGATTAATAATGATTAATAATGATTAATAATGATTAATAATGATTAATAATGATTAATAATGATTAATAATGATTAATAATGATTAATAATGATTAATAATGATTAATAATGATTAATAATGATTAATAATGATTAATAATGATTAATAATGATTAATAATGATTAATAATGATTAGTAATGATTAGTAATGATTAATAATGATTAATAATGATTAATAATGATTAATAATGATTAATAATGATTAATAATGATTAATAATGATTAATAATGATTAATAATGATTAATAATGATTAATAATGATTATTAATGATTATTAATGATTATTAATGATTAATAATGATTAATAATGATTAATAATGATTAATAATGATTAATAATGATTAATAATGATTAATAATGATTAATAATGATTAATAATGATTAATAATGATTAATAATGATTAATAATGATTAATAATGATTAATAATGATTAATAATGATTAATAATGATTAATAATGATTAATAATGATTAATAATGATTAATAATGATTAATAATGATTAATAATGATTATTTAATAATGATTAATAATGATTAATAATTATTAATAATGATTAATAATGATTAATAATGATTGATTAATAATGATTAATAATGATTGATTAATAATGATTAATAATGATTGATTAATAATGATTGATTAATAATGATGAATAATGATTAATAATGATTAATAATGATTAATAATGATTAATAATGATTAATAATGATTAATAATGATTAATAATGATTAATAATGATTAATAATGATTAATAATGATTAATAATGATTAATAATGATTAATAATGATTAATAATGATTAATAATGATTAATAATGATTAATAATGATTAATAATGATTAATAATGATTAATAATGATTAATAATGATTAATAATGATTAATAATGATTAATAATGATTAATAATGATTAATAATGATTAATAATGATCAATAATGATCAATAATGATCAATAATGATCAATAATGATTAATAATGATTTATAATGATTAATAATGATTAATAATGATTAATAATGATTAATAATGATTAATAATGATTAATAATGATTAATAATGATTAATAATGATTAATAATGATTAATAATGATTAATAATGATTAATAATGATTAATAATGATTAATAATGATTAATAATGATCAATAATGATTAATAATGATTAATAATGATTAATAATGATTAATAATGATTAATAATGATTAATAATGATTAATAATGATTAATAATGATTAATAATGATTAATAATGATTAATAATGATTAATAATGATTAATAATGATTAATAATGATTAATAATGATTAATAATGATTAATAATGATTAATAATGATTAATAATGATTAATAATGATTAATAATGATTAATAATGATTAATAATGATTAATAATGATTAATAATGATTAATAATGATTAATAATGATTAATAATGATTAATAATGATTAATAATGATTAATAATGATTAATAATGATTAATAATGATTAATAATGATTAATAATGATTAATAATGATTAATAATGATTAATGATTGATTAATAATGATTAATGATTGATTAATGATTATAATTAATGATTATAATTAATGATTAATAATTAAAATGATTACTTAATACATGTTGAAATAAACGGTTTTTTCAAGGTTTTGGTGCGAACAGGCTTCAAGCAAGATTGGCTACAAAAAAAGCCAAACCTGCAGGCCAGTACTATCTAAAATCTGACGATATCGAAAGCTACATGGTCGAAATAAAATTATCTGACCTGCCTGGAGTTGGTAGAGCTACATTAGGAAAACTCCAGAAAATGGGATTGAATACTTGTGGAGACTTACAGGTAAGATAAAACATAAAATATTTAAAAATAAAAATATGAAATCTTATTAATATTTTCAGCTTGTTTCTTTAAAAACTTTACAAACCGAATTGGGCCAAAAATTAGGCGAAAATTTAAAAGAACAATGTGTGGGTATAGATAACAGACCTTTGAATTTTCATCACGAACGAAAATCTGTATCTGCTGAAGTGAATTACGGTATCAGATTCAAAACTATTGAAGAATGTTACAATTTTCTACAAAACTTGTCTGTAGAGGTTTTTAATAGAATGAATGACATTAATATGAGAGCTAGATGTTTGACGTTGAAATTGTTGGTGAGAGCTTCAGAGGCACCGATGGTAAGTGTTTAAATATTTCAACATTTATAATATTTTCTGGTATAGATAATACTATTTTTTACATTCCTATCTGTATGCAGAGGCGGAACGTCTGGGGGTACTTTATAGGGGGTTGTTTTTATATTTTATGGAATATATCCGTTATTTACGTTTAAAGAAGAAAATTGTTCAAATAAAAGTTATTTATAATATTATTCTCTATAATTTTTGTTATATACAAAATTTTCCTAAAATGGACCGTATTCGAGATATTTGAAAAAAAGTGTAAATTTCGAATTTTGAAGAAAACTCAAAAACGGATAAAGAGAAAAAGATTAAATTTTAAACTTAAGCTTTATTCCGGCTTGCGGTGAAATGATTAGATTTTGGGCAGAGTCGGAATATCTGGGGGGGGGGGGACTTTATAGGGGGTAGTTTTATATTTTATTGAATATATCCGTTATTTACGGTTGGAAAAGAAAATTCTTCAAATAAAAGTTATTTCTAATATTATTCTCTATAATTTTTGTTATATACAAAATTTTCCTAAAATGGACCGTACTCGAGATATTTAAGAAAAAGTGTAAATTTAGAATTTTGAAGAAAACTCAAAAACGGATGAAAGGAAAAACATCAAATTTTAAACTTAAAATATATTCCGGCCTGCGGTGAACTGATTAGATTTTGGGTAGAGTCGGAACATCTGGGGGGTACTTTATAGGGGGTAGTTTTTATATTTTATGGAATATATCCGTTATTTACGGTTGGAAAAGAAAATTCTTCAAATAAAAGTTATTACTAATATTATTCTCTATAATTTTTGTTCTATACAAAATTTTCCTAAAATGGACCGTATTCGAGAAATTTGACAAAATGTAAAAAAAAAATCAAATTTTTATGAAAATTGTTTTATACATGATTTCTCTAATATACATACATCTCATTCTTTTTTTTTTAATTTTTAAATAATTAAATCTTCCCAAAACCCCCCTTAACATACACCAATGCGTTTAATATTGTGTGTAAGTAAAAATGTCCCATTAGTTAACGTGTATGCAAAATTTTATTTGAATTATTTAAATCGTCTAGCATTTACGATTTTTTAAAATTTTCAAACCCCTTTTAACACCCCTTAACGTAAACCCATGTGTTTAATATTGTAAATAATTAAGAATGTCTTTTTATTTCACTTATTTGCAAAATAATTAATTCCTTTATTTTTTTAATTTTTAAACTCCTCTAACACCCCCTTAACGTACACCAATGACTTTAATATTGTGTGTAATTAAAAATGTCCCATTAGTTAACGTATATGCAAAATTTTATTTGAATTAGTTCAATCGTCTATTTTTTACGATTTTTTAAAATGTTCAAACCGTTTTAACACCCCCTTTACGTAAGCCAATGAGTTTAATATTTTGGGAAATAAAGAACATTGATCTACTTAATGTTTTTATAAAATTTTGTTTCATTCTGACATCTCATTCTTTTTTAAAAAAAATTAATTAATTAATCTTCCCAAAACCCCCTTAACATACACCAATGCGTTTAATATTGTGTGTAATTAAAAATGTCCCATTAGTTAACGTGTATGCAAAATTTTATTTGAATTAATTCAATCATCTATTTTTTACGATTTTTTAAAATGTTCAAACCGCTTTAACACCCCCTTTACGTAAGCCAATGAGTTTAATATTTTGGGAAATAAAGAACATTGATCTACTTAATGTTTTTACAAAATTTTGTTTCATTCTGACATCTCATTCTTTTTTAAAAAAAATTAAATAATTAATCTTCCCAAAACCCCCTTAACATACACCAATGCGTTTAATATTGTGTGTAATTAAAAATGTCCCATTAGTTAACGTGTATGCAAAATTTTATTTGAATTAGTTCAATCGTCTATTTTTTACGATTTTTTAAAATGTTCAAACCGCTTTAACACCCCCTTTACGTAAGCCAATGAGTTTAATATTTTGGGAAATAAAGAACATTGATCTACTTAATGTTTTTACAAAATTTTGTTTCATTCTGACATCTCATTCTTTTTTAAAAAAAATTAAATAATTAATCTTCCCAAAACCCCCTTAACATACACCAATGCGTTTAATATTGTGTGTAATTAAAAATGTCCCATTAGTTAACGTGTATACAAAATTTTATTTGAATTAGTTCAATCGTCTATTTTTTACGATTTTTTAAAATGTTCAAACCGCTTTAACACCCCCTTTACGTAAGCCAATGAGTTTAATATTTTGGGAAATAAAGAACATTGATCTACTTAATGTTTTTACAAAATTTTGTTTCATTCTGACATCTCATTCTTTTTTAAAAATATTTAAATAAGTAATCTTCCCAAAACCCCCTTAACATACACCAATGCGTTTAATATTGAGTGTAATTAAAAATGTCCCATTAGTTAACGTGTATACAAAATTTTATTTGAATTAGTTCAATCGTCTATTTTTTACGATTTTTTAAAATGTTCAAACCGCTTTAACACCCCCTTTACGTAAGCCAATGAGTTTAATATTTTGGGAAATAAAGAACATTGATCTACTTAATGTTTTTACAAAATTTTGTTTCATTCTGACATCTCATTCTTTTTTAAAAAAAATTAAATAATCTTCCCAAAACCCCCTTAACATACACCAATGCGTTTAATATTGTGTGTAATTAAAAATGTCCCATTAGTTAACGTGTATACAAAATTTTATTTGAATTAGTTCAATCGTCTATTTTTTACGATCTTTTAAAATGTTCAAACCGCTTTAACACCCCCTTTACGTAAGCCAATGAGTTTAATATTTTGGGAAATAAAGAACATTGATCTACTTAATGTTTTTATAAAATTTTGTTTCATTCTAACATCTCATTCTTTTTAAAAAAAATTTAAATAATTAATCTTCCCAAAACCCCCTTAACATACACAAATGCGTTTAATATTGTGTGTAATTAAAAATGTCCCATTAGTTAACGTGTATGCAAAATTTTATTTGAATTAATTCAATCATCTATTTTTTACGATTTTTTAAAATGTTCAAACCGCTTTAACACCCCCTTTACGTAAGCCAATGAGTTTAATATTTTGGGAAATAAAGAACATTGATCTACTTAATGTTTTTATAAAATTTTGTTTCATTCTGACATCTCATTCTTTTTAAAAAAAATTTAAATAATTAATCTTCCCAAAACCCCCTTAACATACACAAATGCGTTTAATATTGTGTGTAATTAAAAATGTCCCATTAGTTAACGTGTATGCAAAATTTTATTTGAATTAATTCAATCATCTATTTTTTACGATTTTTTAAAATGTTCAAACCGCTTTAACACCCCCTTTACGTAAGCCAATGAGTTTAATATTTTGGGAAATAAAGAACATTGATCTACTTAATGTTTTTATAAAATTTTGTTTCATTCTGACATCTCATTCTTTTTAAAAAAAATTTAAATAATTAATCTTCCCAAAACCCCCTTAACATACACCAATGCGTTTAATATTGAGTGTAATTAAAAATGTCCCATTAGTTAACGTGTATGCAAAATTTTATTTGAATTAGTTCAATCGTCTATTTTTTACGATTTTTTAAAATGTTTAAACCGCTTTAACACCCCCTTTACGTAAGCCAATGAGTTTAATATTTTGGGAAATAAAGAACATTGATCTACTTAATGTTTTTATAAAATTTTGTTTCATTCTGACATCTCATTCTTTTTAAAAAAAATTTAAATAATTAATCTTCCCAAAACCCCCTTAACATACACAAATGCGTTTAATATTGTGTGTAATTAAAAATGTCCCATTAGTTAACGTGTATGCAAAATTTTATTTGAATTAATTCAATCATCTATTTTTTACGATTTTTTAAAATGTTCAAACCGCTTTAACACCCCCTTTACGTAAGCCAATGAGTTTAATATTTTGGGAAATAAAGAACATTGATCTACTTAATGTTTTTATAAAATTTTGTTTCATTCTGACATCTCATTCTTTTTAAAAAAAATTTAAATAATTAATCTTCCCAAAACCCCCTTAACATACACAAATGCGTTTAATATTGTGTGTAATTAAAAATGTCCCATTAGTTAACGTGTATGCAAAATTTTATTTGAATTAATTCAATCATCTATTTTTTACGATTTTTTAAAATGTTCAAACCGCTTTAACACCCCCTTTACGTAAGCCAATGAGTTTAATATTTTGGGAAATAAAGAACATTGATCTACTTAATGTTTTTATAAAATTTTGTTTCATTCTGACATCTCATTCTTTTTAAAAAAAATTTAAATAATTAATCTTCCCAAAACCCCCTTAACATACACAAATGCGTTTAATATTGTGTGTAATTAAAAATGTCCCATTAGTTAACGTGTATGCAAAATTTTATTTGAATTAATTCAATCATCTATTTTTTACGATTTTTTAAAATGTTCAAACCGCTTTAACACCCCCTTTACGTAAGCCAATGAGTTTAATATTTTGGGAAATAAAGAACATTGATCTACTTAATGTTTTTATAAAATTTTGTTTCATTCTGACATCTCATTCTTTTTAAAAAAAATTTAAATAATTAATCTTCCCAAAACCCCCTTAACATACACCAATGCGTTTAATATTGAGTGTAATTAAAAATGTCCCATTAGTTAACGTGTATGCAAAATTTTATTTGAATTAGTTCAATCGTCTATTTTTTACGATTTTTTAAAATGTTTAAACCGCTTTAACACCCCCTTTACGTAAGCCAATGAGTTTAATATTTTGGGAAATAAAGAACATTGATCTACTTAATGTTTTTATAAAATTTTGTTTCATTCTGACATCTCATTCTTTTTAAAAAAAATTTAAATAATTAATCTTCCCAAAACCCCCTTAACATACACAAATGCGTTTAATATTGTGTGTAATTAAAAATGTCCCATTAGTTAACGTGTATGCAAAATTTTATTTGAATTAATTCAATCATCTATTTTTTACGATTTTTTAAAATGTTCAAACCGCTTTAACACCCCCTTTACGTAAGCCAATGAGTTTAATATTTTGGGAAATAAAGAACATTGATCTACTTAATGTTTTTATAAAATTTTGTTTCATTCTGACATCTCATTCTTTTTAAAAAAAATTTAAATAATTAATCTTCCCAAAACCCCCTTAACATACACCAATGCGTTTAATATTGAGTGTAATTAAAAATGTCCCATTAGTTAACGTGTATGCAAAATTTTATTTGAATTAGTTCAATCGTCTATTTTTTACGATTTTTTAAAATGTTTAAACCGCTTTAACACCCCCTTTACGTAAGCCAATGAGTTTAATATTTTGGGAAATAAAGAACATTGATCTACTTAATGTTTTTATAAAATTTTGTTTCATTCTGACATCTCATTCTTTTTAAAAAAAATTAATTAATTAATCTTCCCAAAACCCCCTTAACATACACCAATGCGTTTAATATTGGGTGTAATTAAAAATGTCCCATTAGTTAACGTGTATGCAAAATTTTATTTGAATTAGTTCAATCGTTTATTTTTTACGATTTTTTAAAATGTTCAAACCGCTTTAACACCCCCTTTACGTAAGTCAATGAGTTTAATATTTTGGGAAATAAAGAACATTGATCTACTTAATGTTTTTACAAAATTTTGTTTCATTCTGACATCTCATTCTTTTTTAAAAATATTTAAATAAGTAATCTTCCCAAAACCCCCTTAACATACACCAATGCGTTTAATATTGAGTGTAATTAAAAATGTCCCATTAGTTAACGTGTATGCAAAATTTTATTTGAATTAGTTCAATCGTCTATTTTTTACGATTTTTTAAAATGTTCAAACCGCTTTAACACCCCCTTTACGTAAGCCAATGAGTTTAATATTTTGGGAAATAAAGAACATTGATCTACTTAATGTTTTTATAAAATTTTGTTTCATTCTGACATCTCATTCTTTTTTAAAAAAATTTAATTAATTAATCTTCCCAAAACCCCCTTAACATACACCAATGCGTTTAATATTGTGTGTAATTAAAAATGTCCCATTAGTTAACGTGTATGCAAAATTTTATTTGAATTAGTTCAATCGTCTATTTTTTTACGATTTTTTAAAATGTTTAAACCCCTTTAACACCCCCTTAACGTAAGCCCATGAGTTTAATATTGTAAATAATTAAGAAAATTTCTTTATTTTACTTATTTGCAAAATAGTTAATTCGTTTGTTTTTTACTTATTTTAAGTTTCAAGTCCCTTTAACGCCCCTTAACGTACACCAATGACTTTAATATTGTGTGTGATTGTAAAGGGGTTTCTATTTAGCCTAAATGCAAAATTTTATTTGAATTAGTTCGATTTTTAAAAATGTTCAAACCCCTTCAAAAGCCCCTTAACGTAAGCCCATGGGTTTAATATTTAACTTAAAAGTTGTTTGTGATATTATTTTCTATAATTCTAGTTCTATAAATAATTTCTCTAAAATGGCACACTAAAACCAATCTAATTATCGGTATTAAAAAAAATTGTGAGTTTTCAAATCCAGGATGAGGACTAATTAAATTATTTATTTTATCTTATCTTTAAAATTTTGTAGCTTTTCGTTTGTGGACCGTAGAAAAAATATACTACACAATTGAGTTGCTACAACAACGTGCTCAAATTTTTTCTTACTTCCCTCGATAGAAGGGAAGTATTGCATTCGTGAAAAAGTCATATTTCGAGATGATTTTCATGTTTTTTGGATCCCTAGATTACGAAAAACATGTTTCCCCATTCTCTCTGTGTCTGTCTGTGTCTGTCTGTGACTGTGTCTGTCTGTTTTTTGGCACAATAAGTCAAAAAACGGCTTTATAATATATTAATACAATAATTTGTTTTAAAAAAATATATTTTTCTTTTTAGGAAACCGCAAAATTTCTGGGCCACGGTATTTGTGACAGTTTATCAAAAAGTACGACTTCCAATATAGTTTTCAATAATCCGCAAATTATTTTTAAAGAATCTAAAATTTTATACGAAAAATTAAACCCGCTATTTTCCGATTTACGAGGGGTAGGTTTGCAATTAACCAAATTAGAAAAAAACGCGCCCATCAATTCCATGTTGAGTAAATTTTTAAAACAATCTAACAGTAAAGAATCCGTTCAAATTGAAGAAAAATTAAATATTTCCAATATCAAACAAAAAAATATTAAACAGTCTAACAGTAAATACATTCAAATTGAAGAAAAAGAAGATACACAAACATCAATTATTTCTAATATTAAGCAGAAGATAGTGTCAAAAAATATTAATGGATCAAAATTAAAAAACAAAAACAACAATAACTCTGGATCGATAAGTAATTATTTTGAAAAAACCAAAAGTGCCGAAAACAATCCTAAATCTAAACAGAATCGTCAATTACATCAGCAAATAGATATGGATGTTTTAAATGAGCTTCCAGAAGATATAAGAAAAGAAATTATGAGGGAATACAATCTACAAGAAGCTGTCAAACCTGAAGGAAAGAAGCGAAAAAGTCAAAAACAAAAATGTGGAAAACAAAGTAACCAAAAAATTGATTCTGAAAAATATTTAGATGTTGGTGAGTATTTAATAAATTACTTGTGAGCAAAAAAGCCAAAAAAAGTAAAAAAAAGTCAAAAAAAGTCAAAAATCCTCGTTCTTAAATCGAGATTTTAAAAAATGGTCGATGAATATGTAACGGAAAAAGTCACAAAAGTAAAAAAGTCAGAACAGTTAAAAAAAAGCCAAAAAAGTCAAAAAAAGTCAGAAAGGGCAAAAAGTTAAAAAATCCTCGTTCTTATACCAAGCTTCTAAAAAAGTCGACAAATGTGTAACAAAAAAAGTCAAAAAAGTTCAAAAGTAAAAAAAATGTCAAAAAAGTCAAAAAAGCCAAAAAAGGAAAAAAAAGTTAAAAAAAGCCAAAAAAGTCAAAAAAAGTAAAAAAAGCCAAAAAGTCAAAAAAGGAAAAAAGTCCTCGCTTCTAAAAAAAGGTCGATGAATTTGTAACAAAAAAGTCAAAGAAGTAAAAAAGTCAAAAAAGTTAAAAAAGCCAAAAAAAAAACCAAAAAAGTCAAAGTTAAAAATCCTCGTTCTTATACCAAGCTTCTAAAAAAAGTCGACGAATGTGTAACAAAAAAGTCAAAAAAGGTCAAAAGTAAAAAAGTCAAAAAAGTCAAAAAAAGTCAAAAAAAGCCAAAAAGCAAAAAAAGGTAAAAGTCCTTGTTCTTATACCAAGCGTCTAAAAAAAATCGACGAGTGAACAAAAACAAAGTCAAAAAAATTTTAAAAACCAGTCAAAAAAAGCCAAAAAAGTCAAATAAAGCAAAAAAAAGTCAAAAAGGAAAAAAGTCCTCTTTTTTATACCGAGCGTCTAAAAAAAATCGACGAGTGTGGAACAAAAACAAAGTAAAAAAAAAAAATTAAAAAACAGTCAAAAAAAGCCAAAAAAAGGCAAAAAGTCAAAAAAGTCAAAAAGGAAAAAAGTCCTCGTTCTTATACCGAGCTTCTAAAAAAAGGTCGACGAATCTGTAACAAAAAGTCAAAAAGGTCAAAAGTAAAAAAATGTCAAAAAAAGGCAAAAAATGCAAAAAAAGTTAAAAGTCCTCGTTATTATACCAAACGTCTAAAAAAAAGATCGACGAGTGTGGAACAAAAAAAAAAACAAAGTAAAAAAAAATTAAAAAAGTCAAAAAATAGAAAAAAAATCAAAAAGTCAAAAAAAAGTCAAAAAGTCAAAAAGAAACCAAAAAAGTCAAAAGTCCAGTCCTCGTACTTATATCGAACTTCTAAAAAAAATGTCGACGAACGTGTAATAAAAAAGTAAAAAAAATCCAAAAAAGTTATGGTCCGTATTCAAGAAATTTTACAAAATGTAAAAAAAAATCAAATTTTTAAGAAAATTCTTAAACTAAAAGTTGTTTGCGATGTTAATTTAAAATTTGCAGTATTTTCATTTACAATAAATATACAGGGTGTTTCTTAATTGTTTACATTAAATTTAAGGGTGTATTCCTGAACTAATTTCATATAAACAGCTGTCTGGAAACGCTTTATTCTAAAGCATAGATTTTTAATAAAAATAATTGGAAAGAAAAAGCCCACCGGGACGGCACTGGATCTAATAATTTTAACCTACTTAGTGCTAAAGCAAGCTTTTATCACTAAAAATAAATCTACCCAATATCAAAAAAATCGATTTTTTAATAAAATTTTATTGATTTTTACTGATTTTTATTGATTTTTTATTGATTTTTATTGATTTTTATTGATTTTTATTGATTTTAATTAATTTTTTAATGATTTTTATTGATTTTTGATTGATTTTTAATGATTTTCATTGATTTTTATTGATTTTCATTGACTTTTATTGATTTTGGATTGATTTTTATTCATTTTTAATGATTTTCATTGATCATTGATTTTTTAATAATTTTTATTGATTTTTATTCATTTTTAATGATTTTTATTGATTTTTTTATTGATTTTTTTTTGATTTTCATTTATCTTCATTGATCATCATTGATTTTTTAATGATTTTTATTGATTTTTGATTGATTTTTAATGATTTTTATTGATTTTTAATGATTTTTAATGATTTTCATTGATTTTTATTGATTTTTATTGATCTTCATTGATTTTATTGATTTTGGATTGATTTTTATTCATTTTTAATGATTTTCATTGATTTTTTTATTGATTTTTTAATGATTTTTATTGATTTTTGATTGATTTTTATTCATTTTTAATGATTTTTTATTGATTTTTTATTGATTTTCATTAATCTTCATTGATTTTTATTGATCTTTGATTGATTTTTATTCATTTTTAATGATTTTCATTGATTTTTATTGATTTTTTATTGATTTTTGATTGATTTTTTTATCCATTTTTAATGATTTTCATTGATTTTATTGATTTTTTATTGATTTTCATCGATCTTCATTGATTTTTTTAATGATTTTTATTGATTTTTGATTTGAGTTGACAGTATTATTTTTTTTTTAGATACAATTCAGAAATATCCATTCAAAAATCTTACTTGGGATCAAATTAAACCTATAATAAAAAAATGGATGGAATCTGACGAAAATCCGTACGAATTTGACATAGAAATGATAGCTGAACATTTCAAACAGCTCGCAATCGATAGAAAAATAGAAGTTTTACCGAAAATGTTCAGTTATTTGCACAGGTAATATTTTTACATCCTGTATATATATATTTTTAGACAGTTTAAACATTAAATTAAATAAATATACTTATGATCAATATCGATAAAATGACGGAATAAATTAAACGTTTATTTCGACAATCCTTGTATAATAGAAAATATGAATAGTTCACCTAGATATCAGGTCGCCCAAAGACGATACCGAAAAAAGAATGTATACAGCTGATAACGGTCTTTGTATGCTGGTAACGGTGAGGTGATAGAAATTGCGATATTTTAAACGAAATTCTTTGAATTTTCGCGATCTTTAAGCAAAACAAAATATTCTCAGTGAATAAAATTAATATCTCGAAAATCGTTAAGAATTGTATAGAGGGAAAATCCTGGGAAATACAATTACGGGGGTTCTTCGAAACGTACCCAGGCGAGAATTAGTTAAAATATATTGTTACAATTAATTATAAATAAATAAATATCTCGAAAATCGTTAAGAATGGTATAGCGGGAAATACAAATACGGGGGTTCTTCGAAACGTACGCTTAAAAATAAATAAATATCTCGAAAATCGTTAAGAATGATATAGAGGGAAAATCCTGGGAAATACAAATACGGGGGCTCTTCGAAATGTACCCAGGCGAGAATTAGTTAAAATATATTGTTACAATTAATTAAAAATAAATAAATATCTCGAAAATCGTTAAGAATGGTATAGAGGGAAAATCCCGGGAAATACAAATACGGGGGTTCTTCGAAACGTACGCTTAAAAATAAATAAATATCTCGAAAATCGTTAAGAATGATATAGAGGGAAAATCCTGGGAAATACAAATACGGGGGTTCTTCGAAACGTACCCAGACGAGAATTAGTTAAAATATATTGTTACAATTAATTATAAATAAATAAATATCTCGAAAATCGTTAAGAATGGTATAGCGGGAAATACAAATACGGGGGTTCTTCGAAACGTACGCTTAAAAATAAATAAATATCTCGAAAATCGTTAAGAATGATATAGAGGGAAAATCCTGGGAAATACAATTACGGGGGTTCTTCGAAACGTACCCAGGCGAGAATTAGTTAAAATATATTGTTACAATTAATTATAAATAAATAAATATCTCGAAAATTGTTAAGAATGGTATAGAGGGAAAATCCCGGGAAATACAAATACTGGGGTTCTTCGAAACGTACGCTTAAAAATAAATATCTCGAAAATCGATAAGAATGATATAGAGGGAAAATCCTGGGAAATACAAATACGGGGGCTCTTCGAAATGTACCCAGGCGAGTATTAGTTAAAATATATTGTTACAATTAATTAAAAATAAATATCTCGAAAATCGTTAAGAATGGTATAGAGGGAAAATCCTGGGAAATACAAATACGGGGGCTCTTCGAAATGTACCCAGGCGAGTATTAGTTAAAATATATTGTTACAATTAATTAAAAATAAATAAATATCTCGAAAATCGTTAAGAATGGTATAGAGGGAAAATCCTGGGAAATACAAATACGGGGGCTCTTCGAAATGTACCCAGGCGAGTATTAGTTAAAATATATTGTTACAATTAATTAAAAATAAATAAATATCTCGAAAATCGTTAAGAATGATATAGAGGAAAAATCCTGGAAACTACAAATACGGGGGTTCCTCGAAATGTACCCAGGCGAGAATTAGTTAAAATATATTGTTACAATTAATTAAAAATAAATAAATATCTCGAAAATCGTTAAGAATGGTATAGAGGGAAAATCCCGGAAACTACAAATACGGGGGTTCCTCGAAATGTACCCAGGCGAGAATTAGTTAAAATATATTGTTACAATTAATTAAAAATAAATAAATATCTCGAAAATCGTTAAGAATGATATAGAGGGAAAATCCTGGAAACTACAAATACGGGGGTTCCTCGAAATGTACCCAGGCGAGAATTAGTTAAAATATATTGTTACAATTAATTAAAAATAAATAAATATCTCGAAAATCGTTAAGAATGGTATAGAGGGAAAATCCTGGGAAATACAAATACGGGGGCTCTTCGAAATGTACCCAGGCGAGAATTAGTTAAAATATATTGTTACAATTAATTAAAAACAAATAAATATCTCGAAAATCGTTAAGAATTATATAGAGGGAAAATCCTGGGAAATACAAATACGGGGGCTCTTCGAAATGTACCCAGACGAGAATTAGTTAAAATATATTGTTACAATTAATTAAAAATAAATAAATATCTCGAAAATCGTTAAGAATGGTATAGAGGGAAAATCCTGGGAAATACAAATACGGGGGTTCTTCGAAATGTACCCAGACGAGAATTAGTTAAAATATATTTTTACAATTAATTAAAAATAAATAAATATCTCGAAAATCGTTAAGAATGGTATAGAGGGAAAATCCCGGAAACTACAAATACGGGGGTTCCTCGAAATGTACCCAGGCGAGAATTAGTTAAAATATATTGTTACAATTAATTAAAAATAAATAAATATCTCGAAAATCGTTAAGAATGGTATAGAGGGAAAATCCCGGAAACTACAAATACGGGGGTTCCTCGAAATGTACCCAGGCGAGAATTAGTTAAAATATATCGTTACAATTAATTAAAAATAAATAAATATCTCGAAAATCGTTAAGAATGATATAGAGGGAAAATCCCGGAAACTACAAATACGGGGGTTCCTCGAAATGCACCCAGGCGAAAATTAGTTAAAATATATTGTTACAATTAATTAAAAATAAATAAATATCTCGAAAATCGTTAAGAATGGTATAGAGGGAAAATCCCGGAAACTACAAATACGGGGGTTCCTCGAAATGCACCCAGGCGAGAATTAGTTAAAATATATTGTTACAATTAATTAAAAATAAATAAATATCTCGAAAATCGTTAAGAATGGTATAGAGGGAAAATCCCGGAAACTACAAATACGGGGGTTCCTCGAAATGTACCCAGGCGAGAATTAGTTAAAATATATTGTTACAAATTATTAAAAATAAATAAATATCTCGAAAATCGTTAAGAATGATATAGAGGGAAAATCCTGGAAACTACAAATACGGGGGTTCCTCGAAATGTACCCAGGCGAGAATTAGTTAAAATATATTGTTACAATTAATTAAAAATAAATAAATATCTCGAAAATCGTTAAGAATGGTATAGAGGGAAAATCCCGGAAACTACAAATACGGGGGTTCCTCGAAATGTACCCAGGCGAGAATTAGTTAAAATATATTGTTACAATTAATTAAAAATAAATAAATATCTCGAAAATCGTTAAGAGGTATAGAGGGAAAATCCCGGAAACTACAAATACGGGGGTTCCTCGAAATGTACCCAGGCGAGAATTAGTTAAAATATATTGTTACAATTAATTAAAAATAAATAAATATCTCGAAAATCGTTAAGAGGTATAGAGGGAAAATCCCGGAAACTACAAATACGGGGGTTCCTCGAAATGTACCCAGGCGAGAATTAGTTAAAATATATTGTTACAATTAATTAAAAATAAATAAATATCTCGAAAATAGTTAAGAATGTTATAGAAGGAAAATCCTGGGAACTACAAATACGGGGGTTCTTCGAAATGTACCCAGACGAGAATTAGTTAAAATATATTGTTACAATTAATTAAAAATAAATAAATATCTCGAAAATCGTTAAGAATGGTATAGAGGGAAAATCCCGGAAACTACAAATACGGGGGTTCCTCGAAATGTACCCAGGCGAGAATTAGTTAAAATATATTGTTACAATTAATTAAAAATAAATAAATATCTCTAAAATCGTTAAGAATGATATAGAGGGAAAATCCTGGAAACTACAAATACGGGGGTTCCTCGAAATGTACCCAGGCGAGAATTAGTTAAAATATATTGTTACAATTAATTAAAAATAAATAAATATCTCGAAAATCGTTAAGAATGGTATAGAGGGAAAATCCCGGAAACTACAAATACGGGGGTTCCTCGAAATGTACCCAGGCGAGAATTAGTTAAAATATATTGTTACAATTAATTAAAAATAAATAAATATCTCGAAAATCGTTAAGAATGGTATAGAGGGAAAATCCCGGAAACTACAAATACGGGGGTTCCTCGAAATGCACCCAGGCGAGAATTAGTTAAAATATATTGTTACAATTAATTAAAAATAAATAAATATTTTGAAAATCGTTAAGAATGGTATAGAGGGAAAATCCCGGGAAATACAAATACGGGGGTCTTCGAAATGTACCCAGGCGAGAATTAGTTAAAATATATTGTTACAATTAATTAAAAATAAATAAATATCTCGAAAATCGTTAAGAATGGTATAGAGGGAAAATCCCGGAAACTACAAATACGGGGGTTCCTCGAAATGTACCCAGGCGAGAATTAGTTAAAATATATTGTTACAATTAATTAAAAATAAATAAATATCTCGAAAATCGTTAAGAATGATATAGAGGGAAAATCCCGGAAACTACAAATACGGGGGTTCCTCGAAATGTACCCAGGCGAGAATTAGTTAAAATATATTGTTACAATTAATTAAAAATAAATAAATATCTCGAAAATCGTTAAGAATGATATAGAGGGAAAATCCTGGGAAATACAAATACGGGGGTTCCTCGAAATGTACCCAGGCAAGAATTAGTTAAAATATATTGTTACAATTAATTAAAAATAAATAAATATCTCGAAAATCGTTAAGAATGATATAGAGGGAAAATCCTGGGAAATACAAATACGGGGGTTCTTCAAAACGTACGCTTAAAAATAAATATCTCGAAAAACGTCCACTTACCAGTCAATGTATATAAAAAATGTTTCGATATAGAAGTACGTAGAAAATGTATATATTTAGTTCATCTTCTAAACATTTACAGGGGTGATACAATAGGTTGTAACTTGCATTTTGTTTTAGGAATTTTTCAGCTTTAAATTGCATATGGCACGAAGCTTATTTCAAAATAGTCAATATCACTCAAGAAGGAATGGTTGCAAGATACGGGGGTACTTTATTAGTCCAAAGACAGTTCGAATGCTGTAAAATGTGATAAATAAAAAAAAATATTTTAAATCTGCGATTTTTAATAGATATATTAATTATTTTATACAAGTAATTTTAAGAATATTTAAATATTTTATATATAAAAAATCTTTTAATAAATAATTTATTTTAACATATATAGGAAAGTTTCATTTCTTAGGTACATTATTTAAATTTATTTCTTATATTCTATCGGGTATATTAACAAGCATTTACCTAATTATGATGAAAAAACTGAACAGTATCACAGTTAAAATGATAAAAGAGAATTAAAAAGTGCTTTTCGCGTCTTAAGTGATCAGTTAGTCTTAAGTGCTCACTTAAGGAAGTTTTTTTAGTAATTATACTATCGTTTCTATTTTATTCTTCACTTTCAATAAACTGTTATAAATTGTACAAAAAGGTGACTTAAGTGCTCACTTAGTCTTAAGTGCTCACTTAAGGAACTTTTTTCAGTAATTATACTATCGTTTCTAATTTATATATATATAAATTGTACAAAGAATGATTCTCGTGTCTTAAGTGATCACTTAGTCTTAAGTGCTCACTTAAGCATTTTTTTTTCAATAATTATACTATCGCTTCTATTTTATTCTTCGCTTTCAATAAACTGTTATAAATTATACAAAAAGTGCTTCTCGCGACTTAAGTGATCACTTAGTCTTAAGTGCTCACTTAAGCATTTTTTTTTTCAATAATTATACTATCGTTTCTATTTTATTCTTCACTTCCAATAAAATGTTTTAAATTGTATAAAAAGTGCTTCTCGTGTCTTAATTGCTCACTTAGTCTTAAGTGGTCACTCAAGTATTTTTTTTTCAATAATTATACTATCGTTTCTAATTTATTCTTCACTTCCAATAAAATGTTATAAATTGTACAAAAAGTGCTTTTCGCGTCTTAAGTGATCACTTAGTCTTAAGTGCTCACTCAAGTATTTTTTTTTAAATATTTATACTATCGTTTCTATTTTATTTTTCGCTTCCAACAGACTGTTTTAAATTGTACAAGAAGGTGTCTTAAGTGCTCACTTAGTCTTAAGTGCCCACTTAAGGAACTTTTTTCAGTAATTATACCATCGTTTCTGTTTTATTTTTCACTTCCAATAAAATGTTATAAATAGTACAAAAAGTGCTTCTCGCGTCTTAAGTGCTCACTTAGTCTTAAATGCTCACTTAAGGAAGTTTTTTCAATAATTATACTATCGTTTCTATTTTATTCTTCACTTCCAATAAAATGTTTTAAATTGTATAAAAAGTGCTTCTCGTGTCTTAATTGCTCACTTAGTCTTAAGTGGTCACTCAAGTATTTTTTTTTTCAATAATTATACTATCGTTTCTAATTTATTCTTCACTTCCAATAAAATGTTATAAATTGTACAAAAAGTGCTTTTCGCGTCTTAAGTGATCACTTAGTCTTAAGTGCTCACTCAAGTATTTTTTTTTAAATATTTATACTATCGTTTCTATTTTATTTTTCGCTTCCAACAGACTGTTTTAAATTGTACAAGAAGGTGTCTTAAGTGCTCACTTAGTCTTAAGTGCCCACTTAAGGAACTTTTTTCAGTAATTATACCATCGTTTCTGTTTTATTTTTCACTTCCAATAAAATGTTATAAATAGTACAAAAAGTGCTTCTCGCGTCTTAAGTGCTCACTTAGTCTTAAATGCTCACTTAAGGAAGTTTTTTCAATAATTATACTATCGTTTCTATTTTATTCTTCACTTCCAATAAAATGTTTTAAATTGTATAAAAAGTGCTTCTCGTGTCTTAATTGCTCACTTAGTCTTAAGTGGTCACTCAAGTATTTTTTTTTCAATAATTATACTATCGTTTCTAATTTATTCTTCACTTCCAATAAAATGTTATAAATTGTACAAAAAGTGCTTTTCGCGTCTTAAGTGATCACTTAGTCTTAAGTGCTCACTCAAGTATTTTTTTTTTTAAATATTTATACTATCGTTTCTATTTTATTTTTCGCTTCCAACAGACTGTTTTAAATTATACAAGAAGGTGTCTTAAGTGCTCACTTAGTCTTAAGTGCCCACTTAAGGAACTTTTTTCAGTAATTATACCATCGTTTCTGTTTTATTTTTCACTTCCAATAAAATGTTATAAATAGTACAAAAAGTGCTTCTCGCGTCTTAAGTGCTCACTTAGTCTTAAATGCTCACTTAAGGAAGTTTTTTCAATAATTATACTATCGTTTCTATTTTATTCTTCACTTCCAATAAAATGTTTTAAATTGTATAAAAAGTGCTTCTCGTGTCTTAATTGCTCACTTAGTCTTAAGTGGTCACTCAAGTATTTTTTTTTAATAATTATACTATCGTTTCTAATTTATTCTTCACTTCCAATAAAATGTTATAAATTGTACAAAAAGTGCTTTTCGCGTCTTAAGTGATCACTTAGTCTTAAGTGCTCACTCAAGTATTTTTTTTAAATATTTATACTATCGTTTCTATTTTATTTTTCGCTTCCAACAGACTGTTATAAATTGTATAAAAAGGTGTCTTAAGTGCTCACTTAGTCTTAAGTGCCCACTTAAGGAACTTTTTTCAGTAATTATACCATCGTTTCTATTTTTTTTTTCACTATCAATAAAATGTTATAAATTGTACAAAAAGTGCTTCTCGCGTCTTAAGTACTCATTTAGTCTTAAGTGCTCACTTAAGAAACTTTTTTTAGTAATTATACTATCGTTTCTATTTTATTATTCGCTTCCAATAAAATGTAATAATTTGTATAAAAAGTTCTTTTCGTGTCTTAAGTGCCCACTTAGTCTTAAGTGCTCACTTAAGGAACTTTTTTCAGTATTTATACTATTGTTTCTATTTTATTCTTCACTTCCTTGGTTTTTTCAATTACTGCGTCTATAAAAGGCCTTTCGGATGGATTTACTACTAAACAGTAACGTACTAAGTCGTGGATGTCCTAAAAATTTAATTATTAATGTAATTAATTATTATTAATTAATTATTATTAAATTAATTATTTATTAATTATTATTAAATTAATTAATTATTATTAAATTAATTAATTATTATTAATTAATTATTAATTATTAATTATTAATTATTAATTATTAATTATTAATTATTAATTATTAATTATTAATTATTAATTATTAATTATTAATTATTAATTATTAATTATTAATTATTAATTATTAATTATTAATTATTAATTATTAATTATTAATTATTAATTATTAATTATTAATTATTAATTATTAATTATTAATTATTAATTATTAATTATTAATTATTAATTATTAATTATTAATTATTAATTATTAATTATTAATTATTAATTATTAATTATTAATTATTAATTATTAATTATTAATTATTAATTATTAATTATTAATTATTAATTATTAATTATTAATTATTAATTATTAATTATTAATTATTAATTATTAATTATTAATTATTAATTATTAATTATTAATTATTAATTATTAATTATTAATTATTAATTATTAATTATTAATTATTAATTATTAATTATTAATTATTAATTATTAATTATTAATTATTAATTATTAATTATTAATTATTAATTATTAATTATTAATTATTAATTATTAATTATTAATTATTAATTATTAATTATTAATTATTAATTATTAATTATTAATTATTAATTATTAATTATTAATTATTAATTATTAATTATTAATTATTAATTATTAATTATTAATTATTAATTATTAATTATTAATTATTAATTATTAATTATTAATTATTAATTATTAATTATTAATTATTAATTATTAATTATTAATTATTAATTATTAATTATTAATTATTAATTATTAATTATTAATTATTAATTATTAATTATTAATTATTAATTATTAATTATTAATTATTAATTATTAATTATTAATTATTAATTATTAATTATTAATTATTAATTATTAATTATTAATTATTAATTATTAATTATTAATTATTAATTATTAATTATTAATTATTAATTATTAATTATTAATTATTAATTATTAATTATTAATTATTAATTATTAATTATTAATTATTAATTATTAATTATTAATTATTAATTATTAATTATTAATTATTATTAATTATTAATTATTAATTATTAATTATTAATTATTAATTATTATTAATTATTAATTATTAATTATTAATTATTAATTATTAATTATTAATTATTAATTATTAATTATTAATTATTAATTATTAATTATTAATTATTAATTATTAATTATTAATTATTAATTATTAATTATTAATTATTAATTATTAATTATTAATTATTAATTATTAATTATTAATTATTAATTATTAATTATTAATTATTAATTATTAATTATTAATTATTAATTATTAATTATTAATTATTAATTATTAATTATTAATTATTAATTATTAATTATTAATTATTAATTATTAATTATTAATTATTAATTATTAATTATTAATTATTAATTATTAATTATTAATTATTAATTATTAATTATTAATTATTAATTATTAATTATTAATTATTAATTATTAATTATTAATTATTAATTATTAATTATTAATTATTAATTATTAATTATTAATTATTAATTATTAATTATTAATTATTAATTATTAATTATTAATTATTAATTATTAATTATTAATTATTAATTATTAATTATTAATTATTAATTATTAATTATTAATTATTAATTATTAATTATTAATTATTAATTATTAATTATTAATTATTAATTATTAATTATTAATTATTAATTATTAATTATTAATTATTAATTATTAATTATTAATTATTAATTATTAATTATTAATTATTAATTATTAATTATTAATTATTAATTATTAATTATTAATTATTAATTATTAATTATTAATTATTAATTATTAATTATTAATTATTAATTATTAATTATTAATTATTAATTATTAATTATTAATTATTAATTATTAATTATTAATTATTAATTATTAATTATTAATTATTAATTATTAATTATTAATTATTAATTATTAATTATTAATTATTAATTATTAATTATATAATTTTTCAAAGAAAAGATTTCTTACACATTTTCTATTTTACAAATATTATACTAACTTCACTAAAGGGGGCTTCTTGGGGGAAATGAACAGTCCCCGATATCACAGCTAAATTCACAGAATCTCCTCGTTCATAAATAATATCATAGGGAGATTTAAAATACATCATGGCGTACAATACACAACCCAAGCTCTAAAACAAAACAAAAAAGAAAATACAATCAAGTGTTAGAATAATTTAAAAATTAAAAAATAATTATTAAGATTATCCCTGAATTTTAAAGTTAAAAATAAATACTTAAAAAAGCTTGTTGCACCTGGGGATTGAACCCAGTCACCTTTGATTGCTAGAAAAGTGCCCCAAAATCAATAAAAATTAAAAAAAAAGTGTAGGTAATGTAAATTTTATTAATTTAAATTCGTATTTTTTCTTAATATGTAAATAAATGAATAAATAAATACCCAAATGTCCACTCTTTGATCTATAACACAATAACTTTCAACGTGAAAGAGTTCCGGAGCCCTATAAGTCATGGAACACCTTTCGGCAGCTAAATCTTGCAATTTTTGCGCATCTTGAGCACCGCAAATTTGTACTTTAGCTGGGGCACAGGAACCTACAAAATAAACCTCAAGATGAAGAACCTCTGGCAACCTAAAAATCATTATTTCTCACCTAAATCCATCAATATTGGATCAGCATGTTCAGTCAGGCAAATATTAGCAGTTTTTAAGTCTCTATGTGCTATAGACTCTGGTGTAAAATCATGTAAAAATTTTAAAGCCTCACACACTTCAGAGAAAATTCTTAAAATATCTTTAGCATCTAAATAATTTTTGTTAAAAGATCTTAAAGTTAGGTAATCGTGTAATGTACCTCGTTTGTAATAAGGTAACACTAAAAATGCTTCAGAAGTTGCATGGACAACAATGTCAGCTGAACCTAAAAGATTGTTATATAGCCCTTTAAATCAAAATTTTGGAGGACATACAGACATTTTTGATATGTCACTTTAGAGTATTTGAAAACGACAGGTAAAAAAAATTTGTTTTTCAGGCAAATGTCAAAAAACAAGAAAATAAAGTGTTTTTTAAAGTTATTTAAAAACGGTAGGTGTTATAAAAAAAAGTTTTGAATAAAAATTGTAAAGCATAAAGTTTTACATAAAAATGATATTTGACATTTTTTTATATTATTAAAATTGACAGAGTTAGGTTAGGTTAGAAATTAGGAAGAGATATATATGACTTGGAAAAATCATAGCAAGCTGAAAAGAATGAGATGTCAAAACGAAACAATATTTTATAAAAACATTAAGTAGATCAATGTTCTTTATTTCCCAAAATATTAAACTCATTGGCTTACGTAAAGGGGGTGTTAAAGCGGTTTGAATATTTAAAAAAATCGTAAAAAATAGACGATTAGATTAAATCGAATAAAATTTTGCATTTAGGTTAAATAGAGGCCCCTTTATAATCACACACAATATTAAAGTCATTGGTGTACATGTTACAGGGGTTTGAAACTTAAAATAAGTAAAATATCTGTTATTTACATTCGAAGAAGAAAATTCTTCAAATAAAAGTTATTTCCTATATTATTCTCTATAATTTTTGTTTTATAGAAAATTTCTCTAAAATGGACCGTATTCGAGATATTTGAGAAAAAGTGTAAATTACTAATTTTGAAGAAAACTCAAAAACGGATAAAAAAAAAAACATTAAATTTTAAAATTAAGTTTTATTCTGGCCTGAGGTGAATTTATTAGAATTTGGACAAAGTCAGAACATCTTTACTTTATGGGAAGTCATTTTTATATTTTATGGAATATATCGGTAATTTACGTTTGGAGAAGAAAATTCTTCAAATAAAAGTTATTTCTAATATTATTCTCTATAATTTTTATCCTATACAAAATTTTCCTAAAATGGACCGTACTCGAGATATTTAAGAAAAAGTGCAAATTTGAAATTTTGAAGAAAACTCAAAAACGGATAAAGAGAAAAACGCCAAATTTTAAACTTAACCTTTATTCTAGTCTGCGGTGAACTGATTATATTTTTGTCAGTGTCGGAACATTTAGGGGGGTACTTTATAGGTGGCCATTTTTATATTTTATGGAATATATCTGTTATTTACGTTTGGAGAAAAAAATTCTTCAAATAAAATTTATTTCTAATATTATTCTCTATAATTTTTATCCTATACAAAATTTTCCTAAAATGGACCGTACTCGAGATATTTAAGAAAAAGTGCAAATTTGAAATTTTGAAGAAAACTCAAAAACGGATAAAGAGAAAAACGCCAAATTTTAAACTTAACCTTTATTCTAGTCTGCGGTGAACTGATTATATTTTTGTCAGTGTCGGAACATTTAGGGGGGTACTTTATAGGTGGCCATTTTTATATTTTATGGAATATATCTGTTATTTACGTTTGGAGAAAAAAATTCTTCAAATAAAATTTATTTCTAATATTATTCTCTATAATTTTTGTCCTTTACAAAATTTTCCTAAAATGGACCGTATTCGAGATATTTAAGAAAAAGTGCAAATATGGAATTTTGAAGAAAACTCAAAAACGGATAAAAAAAACATTAAATTTTAAAATTAAGTTTTATTCTGGCCTGAGGTGAATTTATTAGAAGTTGGACAAAGTCAGAACATCTGGGGGGGGGGGGTACTTTATGGGAAGTCATTTTTATATTTTATGGAATATATCTGTAATTTACGTTTGGAGAAGAAAATTCTTCAAATAAAAGTTATTTCCTATATTATTTTCTATAATTTTTGTTTTATAGAAAATTTCTCTAAAATGGACCGTATTCGAGATATTTGAGAAAAAGTGTAAATTACTAATTTTGAAGAAAACTCAAAAACGGATAAAGAAAAAACATTAAATTTTAAAATTAAGTTTTATTCTAACCTGAGGTAAACTGATTAAAATTTGGACAGAGTCAGAACATCTGGGGGGTATTTTATGGGAGGTCGTTTTTATAAAAATAAATAAAAATAACAAATATTTAAAAAAATTAAATAAAATTAGGTAAATTATTAAAAATAAAACAATAAAAAGTAAATAAAATTAAACAAAAATAAATGAAAAGATAAGTGTAAAAGAAAATAAATAAAAATAATTAAAAAAAATAAAAAATAAAAAAACAATAAAAAATAAATAAAAATAATAAATGGTTAAAAAAAATTATATAAAAATAGGTAATTTATTAAAATTAGAAATTAAATAAAAAAAATAAAAATAAATGAATAATAATAAAAAATATTAATTTTTATTTATTTATAAAAAATAAAAAAAAATAAAGAACGAAAAATAAACAAGAAAAAAATGAAAAAAAATCCAGAAAAATCATGAAAAAAAAAAAATAAAAAATAAACAAGTAATAAAAAAAGATTTTTTATTTTTATTCATTTTTTTTATTTATTATTTATTTATCTTGGTTTTTCTTGGCTTTTTTTCTTCGTATTTCTTGGCATTTTCTCTTAGCTTCTTTCTTGATTTTTCCTTTTTTTTCTCGTGATTTTTCTTGATTTTTCATTTTTTTCTTGTTTTTCTTTCTTGTTTATTTTTCGTTCTGGATTTTTCTTGATTTTTTATTAATTTCTTTCTTGTTTCTCTTGACTTTTTATCTTGGTTTTTCTTGGCATTTTCTCTTAGCTTTTTTCTTGATTTTTCCTTTTTTTTTTCATGATTTCCCTTGTTTTTCTTTTAATTTTTTCTTGTTTTTCTTTCGTTTTCTTATTTTCTTTTTTCAATTTTTGTTTTTTTGGTTTTTCCTTTTTTTTCTAATTTTGCTGTTTTTCTGTTTTTTTTTTTTAATTTTTCTTTCTTGTTTATTTTTCTTGACTTTTTATCTTGGTTTTTTCTTGGCTTTTTTTCTTAGTTTTTCTTGGCATTTTCTCTTAGCTTTTTCTTGATTGTTCCTTTTTTTCATGATTTTTCTTGTTTTTCTTTTAATTTTTTCTTGTTTTTTCTTTAGTTTTCTTATTTTCTTTTTTCAATTTTTGTTTTTTTTTTGTTGTTTTTTGGTTTTTCCATTTTTTTCTAATTTTGCTGTTTTTTTTTTCTGTTTTTTTTTTCTTATTTTTTTTTTCTTTCTTTTTTTTGTTTTGTTTTGTTTTTCTTGACTTTTTATCTTGGTTTTTTCTTGGCTTTTTTTCTTGGCATTTTCTCTTAGCTTTTTTCTTGATTTTTCTTTTTTTTTTTTCATAATTTTTCTTGTTTTTCTTTTCGTTTTTTCTTGTTTTTTGTTTTTTCCTGTTATTTTTTCTTATTTTTTTTCCGATTTTTTCTTTCTCGTTTTTTTTATTTCTTTTTCTAGTTCTTGTTTTTTTTTTTTTTAAACAGAACTGTTGGGAGTATATTTTTTCTCATGACATTTGATTTTTTTAAATTTATTTTTATTAATTTTTATTTATTTTTATTTATCTTTAATAACTTTTATTTATATTGATTTGTATTTATTTTTATTTTTTTTATTAATTTTTATTTAACGGAACAACTGCGTAAACTGTCACTTTAAAATTTAATTTACCATGTAAAGTCGTATAATATATTGAACATTTATAAATTAAAATTGTTATAGCTTATACTCTAAAGTGACATATCAAAAATTCTTGTATTTCCTCCAAAATTTTGAATTAAAGGTCTATTTGATTGGACGTCTTTAAATTATCACTCTATATAGTCAATTTTCAGAGATTGGTGGCAAAAAAGATTATAAATTAGTATTCCTCACCTTTAAACGTTGAATCGACAAGCTCTATTATATTGGGATGCCTAAGTTTTTTATAATAATTTATTTCTTGCATTGCAGTTTTTTGATCTTCTATACTGTGACACGTTATTCTTTTCAAAGCATACTTTTTCTTCGTGGTTGTATTTTCTACGAGATCTACGCACGAGAAACCGCTGAAATTAGAAAGTTAGATTTCGTAAACAGCTGGTTGTATATTTAATATTTACCCTTCGCCTAGACGTTCTAAAACAACGTATTTGATTCCGTTTATGTTTAAATGTTCCTTGGTACAAATGCAACCCATTTTCAATATCATACTAAGACCTAGAGTGTTCATTATACTATTTTAAATGATTCGAAAGTATATTTCACAATAAACTTACTCACATAACCTAAAAACTTCCTTCTTCTTTTTCTGTAGCAGAGAATGAAATTAGAAACAGTGTTGCCAAAATATATTTTTGTTATGTACCAGATTTGTCTAAAAAAATGTACTAGATTTTCATATCAATGAGGATAAAAAAAAGTGTTTATGGAACGAAAACAAAATAAGAAAGAATCTTAATTTATTTTACACGTAAAAGAAAAAGTGCTACACTTTGCTTCGAGTTTACTATGGTATCAGATTCTAAAAGAAATGTACTAGATCTAGTACAATTATAATATACTGACAACACTGACTGGAAAGGATTTTGCTACGTCAAACCACGTCGGACTTTCATAAAATAAGTAATTTTAAAATGTTTGATGGAATCGGACAATCGCATGTATTTATGGACTAGAAATAATTATTAAACAAGTATTATTATATCCCAAATAATAATTCTACAAAATTTCAATCTATTTATATATTGTTTATACGGGAAAACAGCAGCATTATAGAAAAAAAAAATATATAAAATAGAAAAATATACAGTGTCTAGCCAAATATTTACATACTACAATAATATAAAACCTACTGAGATCTATTTCTATCTGTTTTTTTTACTTTCCTATCTGTATACAGATAAAAGGAAAGTATAGGAAACATGATTTTTTTCGACCTCGAGTTTTCGACGGATTTTTACGTTTTGAGGTTCCCTAAAGCAGTTTTGACTATTTTCGCGATGATGTCTGTGTGTGTTTGCAGCATTGCCAGCTCTAGTATTATTGAGCATATATAACCGAATTAGTATTTTGATTTCCGATTCTATAAGACGGAAACCTTATAATCACTTTTTCAAAAATTTTAAATTAAAAAAAAAGACAAAAACAAGAACAAGACAAGAACAAGACAAGAACAAGACAAGAACAAGACAAGAACAAGACAAGAACAAGACAAGAACAAGACAAGAACAAGACAAGAACAAGACAAGAACAAGACAAGAACAAGACAAGAACAAGACAAGAACAAGACAAGAACAAGACAAGAACAAGACAAGAACAAGACAAGAACAAGACAAGAACAAGACAAGAACAAGACAAGAACAAGACAAGAACAAGACAAGAACAAGACAAGAACAAGACAAGAACAAGACAAGAACAAGACAAGAACAAGACAAGAACAAGACAAGAACAAGACAAGAACAAGACAAGAACAAGACAAGAACAAGACAAGAACAAGACAAGAACAAGACAAGAACAAGACAAGAACAAGACAAGAACAAGACAAGAACAAGACAAGAACAAGACAAGAACAAGACAAGAACAAGACAAGAACAAGACAAGAACAAGACAAGAACAAGACAAGAACAAGACAAGAACAAGACAAGAACAAGACAAGAACAAGACAAGAACAAGACAAGAACAAGACAAGAACAAGACAAGAACAAGACAAGAACAAGACAAGAACAAGACAAGAACAAGACAAGAACAAGACAAGAACAAGACAAGAACAAGACAAGAACAAGACAAGAACAAGACAAGAACAAGACAAGAACAAGACAAGAACAAGACAAGAACAAGACAAGAACAAGACAAGAACAAGACAAGAACAAGACAAGAACAAGACAAGAACAAGACAAGAACAAGACAAGAACAAGACAAGAACAAGACAAGAACAAGACAAGAACAAGACAAGAACAAGACAAGAACAAGACAAGAACAAGACAAGAACAAGACAAGAACAAGACAAGAACAAGACAAGAACTCTTTTGATTTCTTAAAATTTTTCCAACACTATTTTTGATTGTATCAACCACTAAGTACTGCTGTGAAAGCTTGAAGTTTATAGTATAAGAAATGTGGCCTTGAATTAGATGAAATCCTACCTTTAAGTTCCTAGACATTTAGTCGAAAACAAATGACATAAAATAGGGTGTTGCTTAAGGTTCTGTTCTTGGCCACACTTAAATACATCAGGAAGTTTCACTCTATTTGCTGACGATACTACTATCTTGTGGCATAATAAATACATCAATATTCTTTATGCAAATGTTAGTAATGATCTCAAATCAATAAAAAAGTTGTTAGAAAATAGTTGTAGCTTCCAAACTTTGAAGTGATAGTTTGATTACTTTCCAGACAGCTCTCGTACGTATTGGTATCATGGGCACAAATATCTTTAGTTTTCTTTAAACCTGAAATGTTTTGTTATGTTATATCTATTAAATTTCCGTGAGTTAGTTTTAATATGGATATACTTAGTCGCAATAATTATTTAGAGCACAAAATGATACGTTTTAAATTGAAACCAGGACGATTCGAAGAAAATGATAAGACAACGAAGATTTATAAGTATGTACCTATCTCGTAAAACCTACATAATGCAGAACTTTCACTATTTTTGGTTATCTACTGGCATCTCATTAAATATTTGAATCTGCAGTCTTGGAAATGTAATATATACTTATTTTTGTTAGGTAATCTTTTGTTACGACGATCAGAGGGTTTTAATTTTCCGATATTATAATAGTATATTATTAAACGAGCAATTTATGGTAGCCATTAGTCACCCGAGTGAATAATGGCCATAAATTGCGAGTCTAATACTATACTTTGTCCACGACCATTATGGTTTCTTTATTAAATAAAAGTTAAGTGTAGAATGGAAAGTTTTTATTAAACATAGGTAACTAACTGTTGTTTTTTCGACTTTACGATTTTTCTATTTTTTTTTTGATTTTTCGATTTTTTTTTTCGATTTTTCGATTTTTTTTCAATTTTTTTCGTTTTTTTTTTTTCGATTTTTCGATTTTTTTTCGATTTTTCGATTTTTTTTTTCGATTTTTCGATTTTTCGATTTTTTTTCCATTTTTCAATTTTTTTCCATTTTTCGATTTTCGATTTTTCGGTTTTTTTTTTTTGATTTTTCAATTTTTTTCGATTTTTTTTTTTTCGATTTTTCGATTTTTGGATTTTTTGATTTTTCGATTTTGAAAAATTGAAAAATCGAAAAAAAAAAAACCGAAAAATCGAAAAAAAAAAAAATCGAAAAATCGAAAAAAATCGAAAAATGAAAAAAAAATCGAAAAAAATCGAAAAATCGAAAAAAAAATCGTAAAATCGAAAAAAAAATCGAAAAATCGAAAAAAAATTGAAAAATAAAAAAAAATAGAAAAATCGAAAAACATTGACAAATCGAAAAATCGAAAAAAAAAATCGAAAAAAAAATCAAAAAAAAAATCGAAAAAAAATCGAAAAATCGAAAAAAAAATCGAAAAATCGAAAAAAAAAAACGAAAAAAATTGAAAAAAAAAATCGAAAAATCGAAAAAAAAAATCGAAAAATCAAAAAAAAAAAAAAAAAAAAAATAGAAAAATCGATAAAAACGAAAAATCGAAAAGTCGAAAAAACAACAGTTAGTTTTTTTTTTCGATTTTTCGATTTTTCGATTTTTTTTTCGATTTTTCGATTTTTTTTGATTTTTTTTTCGATTTTTTTTTCGATTTTTCGATTTGTCAATGTTTTTCGATTTTTCTATTTTTTTTTATTTTTCAATTTTTTTTCGATTTTTTTTTTCGATTTTTCGATTTTTTTTTTTTCAATTTTTTTCGATTTTTCGATTTTTTGTCGATTTTTCGATTTTTTTTCGATTTTTTTTTTGATTTTTTTTTCGATTTTTTTTTCGATTTTTCGATTTGTCGATGTTTTTCGATTTTTCTATTTTTTTTTTATTTTTCAATTTTTTTTCGATTTTTTTTTTCGATTTTTCGATTTTTTTTTCAATTTTTTTCGTTTTTTTTTTCGATTTTTCGATTTTTTTTCGATTTTTTTTTTGATTTTTTTTTCGATTTTTTTTTCGATTTTTCGTTTTTATCGATTTTTCGATTTGTCGATGTTTTTCGATTTTTCTATTTTTTTTTTATTTTTCAATTTTTTTTCGATTTTTTTTTTCGATTTTTCGATTTTTTTTTCAATTTTTTTCGTTTTTTTTTTTCGATTTTTCGATTTTTTTTCGATTTTTCGATTTTTTTTCGATTTTTCGATTTTTTTTTCGATTTTACGATTTTTTTTTCGATTTTTCGATTTTTTTCGATTTTTTTTCATTTTTCGATTTTTTTCGATTTTTCGATTTTTTTTTTTTTCGATTTTTCGGTTTTTTTTTTCGATTTTTTAATTTTTCAAAATCGAAAAATCAAAAAATCCAAAAATCGAAAAATCGAAAAAAAAAAACCGAAAAATCGAAAATCGAAAAATGGAAAAAAATTGAAAAATGGAAAAAAAATCAAAAAATCGAAAAAAAAATCGAAAAATCGAAAAAAAATCGAAAAATCGAAAAAAAAAAACGAAAAAAATTGAAAAAAAATCGAAAAATCGAAAAAAAAAATCGAAAAATCAAAAAAAAAATAGAAAAGTCGAAAAAACAACAGTTAGTTACCTATGTTTAATAAAAACTTTCCATTCTACACTTAACTTTTATTTAATAAAGAAACCATAATGGTCGTGGACAAAGTATAGTATTAGACTCGCAATTTATGGCCATTATTCACTCGGGTGACTTGCGCCCCTCGCCTTGCGTGAATAATGGCTACCATAAATTGCTCGTTTAATAATATACTATAAATTATTTATGTAGAATAATATTAAAACTTCTATAAAAATTCGATCTTTCAAAGATTTCTTTTATTTGAAATAGTGGTTTGCTTCAATTTTTTGAATTTTTAGTAAGTCTCATCCTTTTTTTTTACTTATATTGTATTTTTTTAATTTTACATTGAATTCTTGTATAAAGTTTCTAAATTCTTTGCGTTAATTGTATGTTTATATATTTTTGGATATAAAAAAAAATAATATTATCGCACACAAGCTGTACCTAGACAAATTTATGTGGTTTAGATGTATAGAGAAGGTTTTATTTAATTACTAATATTTACTCTCTTGAAACACGAAAACATAATGCAAATCGGCCTAATGTGA